CTCTCTCTCTCTCTCTCTCTCTCTCTCTCTCTCTCTCTCTCTCTCTCTCCTCCCTTATGTCTCTCTGTCCCTTTTTCCTTTTTTTCCTTTCATCTCTCTCTCACCTTTTCTTTCTTTTTTCTTTCTTTCTTCCTTTCTTCCTCTTTCTCTCTCTGTTTGAGTCTGTGTGTGTGTGTGTGTGTGTGTGTGGCAGTGGTGGGTTTCAAAAAATTTTCGAACCTACTCTGTGGGTGTGGCTTCCTTTGTGGGAGTGGTTTGCTGGCCATGTGACCTGGTGGGAGTGGCTTGCCGGCCATGTCTCTCTCTCTCTCTCTCTCTCTCTCTCTCTCTCTCTCCTCCCTTATGTCTCTCTGTCCCTTTTTCCTTTTTTTCCTTTCATCTCTCTCTCACCTTTTCTTTCTTTTTTCTTTCTTTCTTCCTTTCTTCCTCTTTCTCTCTCTGTTTGAGTCTGTGTGTGTGTGTGTGTGTGTGTCAGTGGTGGGTTTCAAAAAAATTTGGAGCCTCTTCTGTAGGTGTGGCCTGCTTTCCGGGTCCACTGGTGGAACCTTTTCTAACCGGTTCGGAAGATTGGGAAAATTAGCTACTTCCTTATGAAATTGCATAAATTTAATCCAGTCTAAGTCTATTACAGTAAATTTAGACATTTGACACCACCGATCGTTATTTAAAGAGAGAGGAAGCAAGGATATATTTTAGCTTCTCTCCCTTTCAACTTCTGTATTAATTCTCTAGTGCGAGTCTTGACAAAATCCAAGTTTCATTCCAAAATCTTACTCAAGAAATGTTGTTTCGGTTTCCTATCTGCCGATTACTTCGGCATCGTCTTTCCAAACCCATTCCCCTACTATCGAGGCAAAGATTAGTTATTAATAGTAATTTCCCCCAAAAGTCCTGTTATTTACCACTATTCTTAGAAAACCAATAGATGGAATCAAAGTATTTAAATTCTTGTATGTTTCTTTCAAGTCTTGGCAATCTGGAAAGTACAACAATGAACTGTCCCTGGCCAGTCCCACAAATCTACAAATGTTATTCGGTGCTACACAATCGCATATAATTACATCCCAGCTACAATGGAATATTCAGAGCAAAGGCTATCAACTAGTTGATATATGGTGTAGAGATATGTAATTGCTGTGATCCAACTGTCCTATTCAGTCCAATTTGCATATACTTCAATTTGTATCAAATTACCTAGTGAGGTTCAAATCTGGCTTAATCTTCATAAAAGCTTGCTTTAAACTTTTGCATTTGAAATTTCAAATTAAATTAAATTTTCCCCTTACAGTTGCCTGGCTTTCAAGAATAATTGTCATCGCAGAAGGCAGGAACAAATCCCATCCTAAGTTTTTTATAGTTTTATCAGTTCAACATTGGCCTTATTTGGTCTTGAAAGAGCTCTAATAGAACTGAAACATTGAGCTCCTGGCAATAACATCCAGAAAGATCTAACTACTTTGTTCAGATCTGTTTGGAATATGTCTTTTCTTTGCCAACTGTCTAGCCAAGTAGCTTTTGCCCAACCCAATTTCAATTGCTAGATTCAATGTTTTGCCATCTGTGTTGCTGGAGGGAAAATGTAAGAATAATTCCAGTGCAAAAGTGATCATGTTCCGTCCACTTGGGGAAATATTGGCCTTCTATGTGCTTCAGTGCTGTTCTTTCTACTTCAGTGGCTGTAATAATAACTTTCTTAATTAACAGCCCGTGTAGATCAGATAGGAATATTCTTCTGTTATCTGGCAAGTTGCCCAAGATCCCCAGAAGAGTCGCCAAATATTGCTGAATCGCCTTGCCACTCAACATTTAATAGTGTAATGTTCTTGACCATTTGGGTACTGGTTGTATATTTTTAATATATTCAATTCAAATTCAATGTATGTTTTAATGTAAACTTACGTTTCTTATGTTGTTGTTTTTTGGTCTTTGAACTTAAACAAAGCTAAATGCTTCTGCACTTGAGGTTTTGCTGCAGAGAAGTATTAGACCTTGTCTAATACGTGACCCGTCAAAACCGCGTTCCACAAAAGCGCGGTCGACGAAAGCGCGTATGTGACGTCATCACAGCGCGACGAAAAAGATCGAAAAATTGAAATAAAAATTAAATTACAGCAAGCCAATTCACATAAAGGTAAGGGTTAGGTTTAGGGTTAGGGTTAGGGTTAGGTTAAGGGTTAGGGTTAGGTTTAGAGCATTAGCGTTACGTTTAGCGTTAGGTTAAGGGTTAGCGTTAGGTTTTTCGTTAGGTTAAGGGTTAGGTTTAGGGTTAGGTTTAGGGTTAGGTTAAGGGTTAGGTTTAGGGGGGTTAGGGTAAGGTTTTCGCTTTATTTTTACATTTTTGAATCTTTTTCGTCGCACTGTGATGATGTCACATACGTGCTTTCGTCGACCGCGCTTTTGTCTACCGCGGTTTTGTGGTGGAACTGTCTAATACTGTCTGATTACTCAGTCTTGAATGACTATCCTTGGCAAGAGGAAAAACAATCAATTTCTCAACCCTGAGACTTTTCAGCTTAAAAACTCTTTACTGTAGAAGAAAAGTATCCTAAAAAGGTGCTACAGCTCTGATTGATAGAAACAATATAATTCTACAGGACTTTATAAAGAGTATTGTTATGCCAAATCATACAAAGTTTCTGATGTTTAAAATACACGTTTGTAGTTTAGCAGCACACAAAATAGATTTGGAATGTACAGACTTCAAAATGTTGGCTAAATTTTTGGAATGGAGGAAAGTTTTGGTAAAAGTAAATAAAGGAATAAATAAATAGGAAGGGTACAGTAAAAATTTCCATGTGTAATTTTGATAAATTGCTTCTGGAGAGTACTAAGAAAAATTTCCAGTCGTGCTATAAAAATGCAACTATAAATAAGCAAATGGAGCAGGTGACCTTTTTTTCTTGGAAAATGAGCAGGGTAATTAAGTCTCATTTTGAGTTACTAAACAAGAAGGGGGAATATTTCTAATAGTTATTTATACTCTGTTCTGTTAGCAAATGAATTACTGCCTAAAAGTAGCTCATTTGGAGCTGTACCTATCAACAAGAACTAAGCGATACTGAAATATGAGAAAAATGCTTAATTGATCATGATTTTATTTTTCACATTTCTTCAGTCTGGAAGTCATATGATCACACGGAGACTGAGCTTTCCACATTACATGGATCTTAAAAGCATTTTACTAAGTTTCTATATCAGCTCTCAACTGTCCTCGTTTTTAAAGATGATTGACAGTATTAATTTTTGATTGCCTTAATTCACATTAAAAAAGAACAACTTTAAAACGAATATGGCTTTTCTGCTAATTTAAAATAAATCAAGGTCCATAGGAAAATATTTTAAAAATTCCATGAATGACAGTTGGTCTTACCCGAACTGTTATTTTAAGAGGTGTTTGCAGGATGGTCCAGTGCAGTGGTGGGATTCAACCAGTTTGCACCACTTCGGGAGAAGCGGTTGTTAACTTTTTGAGCAGTTTGGTGAACTGGTTGTTGGAAGAAATTATTAGGGCAGAGAACCGGTTGTTAAATTACTTGAATCCCACCACTGGGAGGTAGAGATCCATCCAGGTCTACCCTGGCACCTATGTGATGGTATTATCACAGCCAATTGGTCTCGAGACTGGGTTGAAGCTGAAGCCATGCCTCTGAGCTCCTCTCCTCTGACTCCAGTTTCAATGCAATATTTGCTCTCGAGATCCTGAAAACAAGTTACAAAGGAGACACCTCCACCCCCAATACTGTCTATCTAACCTAGGGTGGGAACTGGACCATCCTGCAAACACCTCTTCAAATAACAGTTCAGATAAGACCAAATGGCATTTTCCAGAGTGGGTTTGCAGGATGGTCCAGTGATGGGACGTACCCAAGTTACTGTCCCCATACGGTGGGCCCCCACTGATCCAACAGGACCTGTTGAAGGACCCTGCGGCTGAACGCTGCGTCCGAAGATGCGAAGGCATCCAGTCTGTATTGAGGATAAAGGGTGACGGGGAGGCCCACGTCGCTGCCCTGTAGACATCTTCTATAGGGGCCTGGGAGGAGCTAGTGGAGTGTCCCGTGATTCTGACCGGCACCGGCAAGTTTTGCGCCTCATAGGCAAGTGCAATGGCCAAACTAATCCAATGACTAATAGTGGACAGGGAAACCCTCTTCCCTAACGACGACGGTTGAAACTATACAAACAGAGCCTCAGACCTCCAGAACTCAGCCGTCCGCCTTAAGTAGATCCGCAATGCCCGTCTTACATCTAGGCGGTGCCACCTGTGCTCCCGCTCTCTGACTGGGCCTGGGCAGAAGTCCAGGAGGACCACCTCCTGGGCACGGTGGAAGACCGTGTTTACCTTGGGCAGGAATGCCGGGTCAAGGCATAGCACTACCCCGTAGTTGTGGAACATGCATAGATCCTCCCTGGAGGAGAGGGCCCCCAGCTCCGAAACACGCCTAGCTGAGGTGATTGCCACCAAGGACACAACCTTACAAATGAGTAGCTTCCGGCTGATTGTCCGTAACAGTTCAAAAGGCTCAGCCATGAGACCCCATAACACCTTGCGGAGGTACCACGTACGAAACCTATGGACTGGCGGTGGACGTAGGTGGGCTGCCCCTTGAGAAACCTCTTAACTAAGGGCGAACGAGACAGCGGAGTGGAGCCCTCCCCAGGAATCACCATGGCTAGTGC